AAGGCCTCCCTCTGCTGCCGGTGCTGCCCCCCGCCGCCCTGAGCAAACGGGGATGTCCCCAGTGCATGGGGCGAACGGGGCAGATGGGGTCTCACTTTGCCAACCGTGGTGTGTCCCCTCCCCGCTGGCCTGTCCCCACCGTTGTTCTGCCGCCGTCCCAAGGTCTGGGGACATCTCGTCCTGGGGTGGGGGGGTCATAAATCCCCGGGAAGGGGTCGGGCAGAGCTGGCCAAGCACCATGGAGACACTGATGACTTTTTGCCCGGGTGTCCCATGGGGACAAGTGGGACGGCGGAGGCTCAGGGTCACGCGCGAGCACACTGTCCTGTGCCACGTGTTCCCTGTCTATCTGCTGCCGAAAGCTGTCCCGGGCGAGGTGTAAATCTCCCTGTACTTGCAAACAGCATTAGGGGATTACCTGGACCCGGCGGGAGGGGGATTTCCTATCCCACCACCCCTTGGCACAGCGCAAGGCTGACCTTGCCGCCCCCCCCGTCCCACCAGGCTGTGGCATCTCTCACTGTACTGCAATGCCCTGTCCCCAAAAAGGCTCCGCCGCCGGGGGCTGGTGGCACCCACCGGATGGGGCCATGCGGTGCCTGAGCCGCCCCGAAGCCCCGGCTAATCCCGGTGCCCGCAGTACCCCAGCTCCACTTTTACCTCCCGGCACCTCCTAAGACGCTTTGAGGATGATGCCCAACGTGGCTTCTCCCCATCTGCTCTCCGGCCGGGTGGCCGCGGGATGTCCCCAGGCAGGGGGACGGGGACCTGCCCATCACCGGTGGGACAAGGTCTGTGCTTACCAGCCCTGGACCTGGTGATGGGTCCCATGCAGCAGGACGAGGAGGCGAGGAATCAGCGTGCGTCCCTACAGCACGGAGAACCCCAAACTCACAGAACTTTGTCCCCCCAGTTTTTCCATCACACGCTGCTGCTGCCATCCCCGTTTGCAAAAGGAGACCCCCCCACCCCATCACATTTGGGTGACCTCAAGGACGCCCCATACTGGGATGCCCGAGGACTCACCAGTTTTGTGGGATTTTTAGCAGAGCCAGCGAGGGGGGGATGTTTCGGGCTCATCTCCAAGAGAAACATTTATGTTAGGGGAGGGCAGGAGGGGGGAGAAGAAAAGCATCATTCATCAGCGTTAGGAAAAAGGGAAATCGTATTAAAGGCGACCGCGGTGATTGCAGATAAGCGCCGCTCTCACCAGATTACTCGAACTTTAATACAGAACAGGAAAGCCCTGAACAACCAGTGCCTCGCTCCCTGCTAAGGAAAGGAAACTCTCACCCATTTTGGGAGAGCCCAAAACTTTCCTCTCTCCCCACGTCTGGAGGTCCAGTCACCACAGACGAGCACGGCTGCGCCCCACAAAGGGGCAGGAACATTTGTGGGGTGTCCCCCCCCCGCCAGACCCCCTTTCCCACCCCATCTCCGACTCACTTTTCGTAGTCGACATTATCCTTGTCGCAGCGTGTATCCTTGTGCTTCTCCCAGTCCTTGCCGTGCTTGCAGGTGGTGAGGGAGACGATGTCCTTCCCGTTGTGGATGTGGTGCAGCGCGTTCCTGGTGCCGGAGCCGATGCCGGTCAGGTACCGCTTCCCCTTGAACACCAACAAGTATTTCTTTTTTGGGGGGATGGAGTCCTGATACAACCACCCCCTCTCTCCACCGCGCTGCGGGTGGTCCTTGGAGAAGAGAGGGATGGAGATGTCAAAGCCGGGCCTGAAGTTCTCGGTGTAGAAGCTGGCTTTGGCCAGGATGGCCTGGCCGATGTCGAAGCCCAGGTCCTCGGTGTAATTGGGCCAGGTGCCCGAGTAGAGGTTGAAGATGAGGTGGTTACGGCCACCGTTCCAGAGCGGGAAACCACGGATTTTCTCATCGACGTTACGGACGTATTGACCCGAGAGATGGTCGCGGTCCAGCGTGTCGATGCTGAGGATGAAGAGGCAGGCTTCCTCGGGGTTCGGGGTGTAGTAGCGAGAGCGCTCGATGGAGGTGAGGATTTTGCTGTAACTCTCCGAAAGGGGCTGGTCCCTCTCCCGAGGGTAGGTGAAGACTTTGAAGCCGTGCTTCTCGCACCTGGAGAAGTCAAAGCAGGTTTCCATCCGGCATCTGCTGTTCTTGTAGACGCTCAGCCGCGCTGCCCGCCGTTCCCGGGGCGATAGCAGTGAGGGGTCCCCATCATTCTGGAGCTCTTCAGGGTCTGCAAAGCTTTTGAGGATGGACCGGTCCGTCCAGAGAGGCCAATTCCTCCGAGCTTCAGTTTTCCTCCCAGAAAAGAAAGTGAAACGGCGCAGCTGGTCTCCTCCAAAGAAGAAAAGCAGGAGCCAAGAGGCAAGGAAAGTCAGGAAAATGTATTTCTTCCTGGTCTGCATAGGTTCATGCACAGCCCTGGCTCCTCATCGGGCTCAGACTGGCACCGGAGTCCGGTCAAAAGGCCGATGTCCCGAACCCAGAGTGGGCGGTGGGACGGCTCCCAGTCCCCAGGTATTATTGTCCCGTGGCCCTTGCAGCCCGTGGGAGCGTGGATGAACCCCACGGTCCTCTTGCTGCCCCTCCCGACCGGAGCTGCGCTGGCTTTTCGGGGCCGTCGGTCTCTCCGGCTGCGGAGCAGAGCTCGGTGCAGCAGTGTCCCGCTCCCTTCCCTCCGACACAGCGTTTTACTTCGCTGGGCCCCCGTGCCGCGACAATGACATTTCCATCGCCACTTGGCCCAGCTTCAAATCCCTGGAGAAGGGGAGAGGTCACGCTGTCGCCATCCCGCTGCCGCCAACCGTGTCACCGCAAGCGGGTCCCCATGACGGGACATCCCCCCAACCCCCCTTTTCCAAGTCCCCCCCTGGGAATAAAACCTCC